AGTATTGAGGCTGGAAAAGGACGTGAAGTCCCGATCCATAATCCTGCATAATCACTTTCCTCCTGACTAAAAGGCTCCTTTGAATTAACATGTATATTTAAGGCCTGGCACATCCAGTCCTCAAAGGATCCAAAAACAAGGCAAAAAACATGTCTTAAAAGCTTCTTTGGCCATTCTATCATACAATACTGGACCAATTCTAATTTACTTTTTCCTTTTCTGGGGCCCCCATCGTTCCAATTTCCAATCATTATTCCTAATGGACTTTCTGGTGGTATGTCCGGTAATTTGCTCCCTTCTTCCTGGTCCCTGGTCTTCGAATTTGTCAGACCCATCTAGGAATTTTACTATGGCAATTCCTACAACCCTTGGTCACCTTAGTAAGAGTGTCTTGCAGGGGGTTTAGGACCTATCACCCACCCACGAATCCTATAGGAACCGCTTCGGTCCTTCACCGGCCAAGTCCCTCGTGGGAGATTGGAACCGCGGTTAGAAGACCTCCACAATCGCTTCAGAACTGAGTTCTGTCTCAATCACACTCTTACACACACAGGCAACCGAATCCCACCCAACCGAACGGGATACGTCTAAACTTACGACTCTGTCGTCTTCATTCGGGATCTAACCGAACGGGATACGCCTAAAATTTACGATTCCATCGTCTTCATTCGGGATCTAACCAAATGGTAAACTTACGACTGTCGTCTTCATTCGGATCTTCGCGCGCAGAATTACGGGCAACACACAATGCTGCAGCCGGCAAGGGAGCTCATAAAAAAAAATCAAATTCTTTGCTTGCCTTTATTCAGGTTCAGGATGGCGTTAGTCCCGACCTGACTCGAATAGGAGCCACCAAAAATGATGGTGGGGCGCCCCTCCTAAATCAAGTCAGAATTCAGGAACCAGAGCCATCCCGGACGAGCCCCCAATTGTGATAAATGACCGAGTCCCAAATAGGGTTTCAATCAAAATTAACAATTTATTAAACGAATAAAAGCAAGCAAACAGCGCTGGGTGCGCCGGGAGCCTCTGCTCTACCAAGACGCACACCTAACAGTTCTTGTTTCTGGTTTATATACCCCCCAGCAATAGGCGGGTCTTAAACTCCTTTTGTTTTGGTCAGTACCAGAACCGGTTTAACCGGTT